CTTCATTGGGTTTTCAAATATTTCAGTGATAACTAAAGATGTATATTGTCTTGGAGGCCACAGATAAGTAGCATTAAATCTTGGATGGAAAAATCTTATAATCCAACTAGATTGCAAACCCCTTGAAGGCAGGTGGAGATGTTATAGCTGATATAACACCAATCTTTCTGTAGTTTCACAACTTAGTAAACTGAACTAGGAGTCATGAAACCAGAATTATGTAGTCCAGGTTCTGCCAAGGTGTGTGCTTTTTTTTTTTTTTTTTTTCTTATCACAATCCCTGACACTTTTCCTGTGATTCCTCTCCCACATCAGGCCATAGTTTCCTGGTTTACTCAACAGGAAGTTCTAATGTCCAGTCCTAGCTAGTCCTCATATTTATCTGTAAAGTGAATGAAAAGGTAGGCTAAAGGATGCCTAAGAACAATGCCAGCAACAAAATATTTTCAAACCTACTTTTAAAACACATGCTATTTGGGAGCCATAAAATCTTGTGGTTCTGTAAGTCATTTGAGTTGGAGACAATTACCATGTGGCAATGTTATAGACATACAGTTTGAAATCAAAACTGCTAAAAGCAGGTGGACAGTTTCAAGTTCATAATGTTCTGAAGAGCTTACACAATGGGGCACATTGTGTCCTACTGACATTTGTTTCAAAAATAGACTTCTTAGTGATACAAGGTGCCCCAATATCAATCTTGACTTGATTTTCTTTAAAGGAAAAAAGGACCATTTAGAAATCATTGGTAAAGAGGCTGATTGGATTATTTCTTCTTTACTAAACAATTCATTTTGACTCTTTCTTGAGACTTATGGCAGAAATCTCTTGCAATGCTTTTTTCTTCCATTTTTCTTCATTTAAAAAAAATCTGATCTGTTTTACATACTTAAAGTATAAGAGAAAATACCCTAAGATAAAGCAGTGCCTATTTGTAAAGTTTTCATGTTCATTTCAAGAAATAGTTCTATGTTCTTTGTCCTTTTGCTTATTAAGCACTTAGGGAAGTTACTGGGGATTTTCTGCCCTTCTTTTTCTTAAGTAGCTTGCAAGCCACAAACGGAGACAGGTCTGCCAGAAACAAATTCCTGTGTATTAACTTTTCTCCATTTCTCCCAATGACAGAGAAGTTGAATACTCCCTCATGCTGAATGATTAAAATTTCTAAATGAAGATGAAGACACATTTAGCTTATGAGATCATCATCTTCCCTAACAGAGAGCTTTCACTCCAAACATGACAAAAACATCCATTTTTTATAGCCACAGGTTTTAGAGGAAAGTAAAATTTGGCACTCTACTCAAATGGATTGCTGTCAGTTCCCTGGAATAACCTTGTGTTATAATCCCAGAAAGCATCAGAAACTTGTTCTAGGTCATGGGAGAGAAGAGACCATTTCTATAAGCACCTTCCTTAGCTATATTGCTTTTTCTTCAGTAGAAAGAATTGGAAGGAAAAAATGGGAAGATTTCTCCAGGGTAATTTTAACCTATTCAGTAGTAGAGAGATGGATTACTAAACAAATAAGGAACTCTCTAATTCTCAAGCTCCCTCAGTCACACATACACAAATTGGAAATAGGAAAACAATGTGGAGATTAAGTGGGTTCAGTACAGAGGACATGCCAGAAGAGAGATCAAAATCCAGTGAGAAAGCTGGTCTTTGTCTGAACAGTGTCAGGAAATCTGCCTTGATCTACATCACTGTGTCTAATGTCCTGCAATGCCAGGAGGGCACTGAGCTATTTACAGAATGTGGCAGGTTTTCTTTTGAGAAACTAGAGAGCTCTGGCTATTGAGTCATGATGGGCTGGGAGAGTTCATGTCAGTTCTACTCTGGCCCAGTAGAAACTGACACTAAATTCCTTGCCATGCTTCTGTGGCCAAACACTTCTCAGAATGGCTAAGGCACCAAGGGCTTTTGCAGTAAATCTCAACTATCTTTTAGGATAGGATGGGTCTGAAACAACACTTTGGCAGTATAGGGCAATGATTGAAGAACAACTTCATAATCAGACACCTGGGTTCAAATCATTGGGTCATTACAAGATGAGTACCATGAACTCAATTTAATGAATACTGGCTGGGCATTACGGCATTCCGGGCATTTATTCATTACAGCAAAAAGTGAGTAAGAGCACTGAAGACCTGTGAGCAATACAGGACCTTTTGGACCCTGAGTATTTGGAAAAAGAGGGACAGGGAAGTGAAGACTTGATCACCAACTTGTAAAATAAGAGCTTAAAGCTTGTTCTTAATGTCAAGACAATTCAGAGCTTCTCAGGGTCCTTGGAAAGTATGACAGGTATTATGTCCCTTGTTCAACTCCCTCTCTCTGGCATTAGAAGTTATTCTCTTTTCTATAACTGGGTTCACTTGAATCTCATCTACAACTCAGCCCTGCCCCAGTTCCCAGGACTAAGCTTTACCCAAGACAGGAGATAATTGGCTCCAGCTCCATAGCTGGGGGCTAAGGTTCAAACTGCTTTGCTGCTTGCCTGACTGGAGGATAGTGCCCTAATTTTTATACTTGAGGTCCAGTCTCATTTTAAGCCTTAATTCCCTTTCTGTGCCCTTATTTTTAGAAATTAGCTTCTGCCTTTGTTCTTGTTCCAGAGGACCTGTTCCAAAAACTTATTAATGACTAAGTTCTATCTTATGATTGAATAGCTACACCATATTCTTGCTGATTTCCACATTCAAGCATTAGAGTCCTTATCCTGAACTTTCAGTCCAATAGGTAACCTGGATGTTTGCTTCTTCTTTTAAAAAATATATTTTTACTAAAGGCCGGTGCATGAAATTCGTGCACAGGGGTAGGGTCCCCTCAGCCCAGCCTGCACCTTCTCCAATCCAGGACCCCTCAGTGGCAGTCGGACATCCCTCTCATAATCCAGGACTACTGGCTCCTAACTGCTCACCTGCCTGCCTGCCTGATTGCCCCTAACTGCCCCTCACTGCCAGCCTGATCACCCCTAACTGCTTCTGCCTGCCGGCCTGATCACCCCTTACTGCCCCCTTGCCAGCTTGGTTGCCCCTTAATGCCCCCCCCCCGCCAGCCTGGTCACCCCCAACTGTCACCCCCGCCGGCCTGGTCACCCTTTACTGCCCCCCTGCTGGCCTGATTGCCCCTTGCTGCCCCCCTACCAGCCAAGTTGCCCCCAACTGCCCCCCTCTGCTGGCCTGATTGCCCATAACCCCCTGCTGGCCTGGTCACCCCCAACTTACCCCCTGCCAGCCTGGTCACCCCCAACTCCCCCCCACCAGCTTGGTTGCCCCCAACTTCCCCCCCCCCCCGCTGGCCTGGTCACCCCATGCAGCCTGCTGTTCAGTTGTTTGGTCGTCCCTCACTAACCCCCCTTGCCGGCCTTGTTGCACCACACAACCTGCTGTTTGGTTGTTACTGTGACAGTGTCCTGGACAATTTGCATATTCCTCTATTATTAGTATAGATTGATTACAGAGAGGAAGAGGTAGAGAAAGATGGGAACATAAATGATGACAGTCATTGATTGGCTGCCTCTTACATGCTCCACACTAGAGATTGAGCCCATAACCCAGGTATGTGCCCTGACCGGGAATCGAACCGTGACCTCCTGGTTCATAGGTCGATGCTCAACCACTGAGCCACACCAGCCAGGCAACATTTGCTTCTTGAAAGCTATTTCTCAGTATATTCACCCCCTAGACTCCTCTGTGTTCCCCTAACCGATTATCTAGACAGAGACTGGTCATTGCAAACAATCCTTTCTTGTTAAATTAAACCTTTGCTGCCACCACCTGCACTTGGGTTAGTTCTTCAGTAACTGGTTCATCCAGTGGGCTGTTATGACCAGTTCTACTTTTCTCCATATGCTACACTAGGCAGCCCAAGATCTGATATTCCTAATCGGAGGCCAAAATCTTTTCAAGCAAAGCCACAGAGGAGCTCTAAAGACACTGCTGTACCCTTTTTAAAAGCCCTAATTATCAGTATAATTCTTTTGTACTTGGCCCATGGGCAAGCCCTTGGCAGAACCATTCTGTTCATTCATTAATTTATTCAACAAGTATTTGTTGAACTTACATTATGTGCCAGGCTCATCTAGGTGGGGCAGCTGAACTTGTAAATAGATAATTATAATACAAGTTCAAAAAATACTCTAAGGAAGAAAAAAGCAGGAGCACCTAACCAGACTGCAGGTAGGAAAATGGGTTTAGGGAAACTTCCTTAAAGAGTTGATATCTCTGAGTTCTGGAGGACTGGTAGATGATGTTAGCTGGCTAACAGACAAAGATGCTTCCAGGAATGTTTTAAGTGAGAGCTGGGCACCTTCAGGGAACAATAAATACTTCACTGTAGCTGGAACACTGAGTGTGAATGGTAAAGAGTACAAGATGAAACTAAAGAGGTAGGCAGGTGCCAGATTATAAAGTGCCTTATTTGCTATTCTAAGGAATTTGAATGTTATCCTGATTTTTAAAGTGGAAAATTATAATAACGTGGAGAGCTGATTTGCCAGGATAAGAGCAGAAGCAGGGAAACCAGTTAAATGAACGACAAATGGTAAGAATCTTAACTAAGTTGATGATGATGGGAATGAAGAGTGTGTCTAGATTTGAGAGACATAAGAGTAGAATTTATAGGATACAGCGATTGAATAGATATGAGAGGAACAATGAGAAAAGAGATCAGGTTGCTTAGGCAACTACGTGGGTAGTGATTCTGTTGCCTGAGACAGGGAACACAGAAGAAACAGATTTTCAATAGAGGGCAGACTGTACTTAATGTTGCCAGATAGATTTTCCCAATTCTACTTTCCTTTTAGTAATATAATCCTGTTGCCCAAAGGATACTGTTGATAAGCTCCTTTTACAGAATTCAACTGTAGAAAACCATTTTTTTACAGACCATATGAAAACTATATAATTGGATAAGCGTTGCACTTGAGAATTAAATCCTCTATCTTTGTTAATTGGAAAGCATAGAAGTAAATGAAAATAGAGTTGAAAAGAACTTACCCCATAGACAAGTTCTCCAACCATGCCATTCCATATTTTAGTCTCCGGATCCCTTGCACCATATTTCCCGTCGGCGACAATGGACAATTTGTACTTGATCCTTACATGTTTGGCTATTTCATAAGCTAAGTCTACACAATAGCCTTCATATCGCTCATTTCCTTCCAGTTGCTCATGGTTCTTCTTATACATTACATATGGTGATTCCTTTGGGACCAGAAAGAAGATCAAATGATTACTCCTATACATTTTTCTAAGAGAAGACAAACGTAATCATGAAGCTGCCCCTCCCCACCATGGTTATTGCACTTTGGTTTGTAAAAAAGAGCCTTTAACTTTTTTTTTCTTAATAACCAGAAGAGCGTCAATAAGCCTATTCGTTGGGCTACATATTTCTTGGAGTCTATAACTAATGATTTAAGGAAGTAGAGAAAGATTTAAATTATTTTTGAGAGTTTGAAAGAGAGACCAGTTTCTACTTGTAAAGTCTTTGATTTACTCAAACTGGGTAGAGTATTTTCCTTAGTTACATGAAGATGAACTGCCTTTGTCTTCTTGGGATCTACAAGGTAGGAACTATAGACAGCCCAGGGGTCAGGGTCTGTGGTTTATTCATTTTTATATCCTCAGAGCCTAGTACAGTACCTATGACTAAGTAAGTATTTGATATGTATGTTTAAGTGAAAGGTTAACTCCAGGCAAATCTCTATTCAATTAATCACAATTTCAGACCTACTGGCATACTCATTTCGAACTCAGGTTTGTACTTTAGTCAGTAGGAAAACATACCAGCTTTTAGAAACATATTTTAAAACTAAATGAGAATACTATATCACCTTTAAATAGTGCTTTGAATTATTCAATTATTCAGAAAAGCTTTACATAGTGAATATTGCCTTGAAATGGTCTTATGAGAGAGGTAGGAGATTATTATTATACTAGTGGCCCGGTGCACGAAATTCGTGCACGGGAGGAGGGTGTCCCTCAGCCCAGCCTGCACCCTCTCCAATCTCGGACCCTTTGGGGGATGTCGACTGCTGGTTTAGGCCTGATCCCAGGATGTCCGACTGCCGGGATCGGGCCTAAACCGGCAGTTGGACATCCCTTTCACAATCCTGGACCGCTGTCTCCTAACCACTCACCTGCGTGCCTGCCTGATTGCCCCTAACTGCTTCAGCCTGCCAGCCTGATCGCCCCCTAACAGCTCCCCTGCCGGCCTGATTGACACCTAACTACTCCCCTGCTGGCCTGATCATCCCCAACTGCCCTCCCCTGCTGGCCAGATCACCCCCAAGGCTTTTATTAGTATAGATATGACCCTTCACAGAAAATTTCACTAACCCTGCTTTACAATAAGGGATTGATGATTGAATCATTGGGGCCAGGCACCAAGATTTCCTTTCTTTGAATAGTGGAGGGAATAATTATCTTGTCTTTCAATTGCCCTGAACATCAAATGAGATAATGACTTAGAAAAGCATAAAAGCACCATATAAAGACAACTGTCTTTTTCATATACTGAAAAGACAATAAAGTGGTAAAATGAAAAACACTATTTTTATTCTCCCCCTTCCTTCCTTTACAGCCTTTATTTAAACTTTGAAATTTAGAAAAATTTCACTCCTATTTTCATTTCTTTACATTCAATATTATTTTGTATTAGTTTCAGGTTTATTAGTTACAGAATAGTGGTTAGGCAATCATATACTTTACAAAGTGTTCCCTGATATTTCCAGTACCCACCTGGCTTCATACCATCATTACAACACTGTTGACGCTATTCCCTATTTAAGTGACAACAGGTTTACAGGTTCCTTCCAATCTTTCTTTTGTGTTGCCCGCCCTTTCTTTTCTTTCTCATGTCTTCCCTCATTTTCTTTATATAGTATCTCAATTGGCCCTCAAAGCTCAGTGAAGGCACTGGGACACGCTTAACACACTTTACAGAGGAGGAAACTGAGGCCAATTCCAGTTGGCTATGGAACTGGACTCCTCTCGCAGGAGCCCTCACAGCCGGCTCTCTGCCTTTCCTAAGGGACAGCCGCAGGGCAAACAGAACAAACCTCCCCGTGAGGCTTCCAAGCCTCATTCTCCAGCACCTCTTCATCATGGATGCTCCACATTCTTTCCTCTCCCCCGCCCCCACCCCATTCTTTACTGCCCCCCTTCTGGGGAGCAGGTGGTAGGCTTGCACTCACTGTGCAGGTGTGCACCCCCATGGGGCGGGGCGAGAACTGGGGGCGGGGAGGGCGCAGGCCTGTTTTTGGGCCAAGGTGGGCGCAGGAGTCCTGGCCTCTCAAGTGTGCAGGCCGCGGGGAGGCCTGGTCAGCGCCGGGAGCTTCACCAAACCGCCGCAGTGGGGTACCCAGCAGTGGGGCGCTCCTCCACTGAGGTGGCACCGCCCCTCCACCCCCACCTCAGGGCTGAGAGTCTGCGCCCCTCTGCCCGGGCGTCCTTCCACGCCTGCAGTCATCGCCTCTTGTTTCCCGCCTATTGGGGCCAATACAGAACCTCACTCTCTGCAGGCGAGGCAGATCCCCGCCCGCCAGCACCCTGCCCAGGCCTGAGCCCTCTCCAGTGTGCCCCACCTTGGCGCCGCTCTGTGCCCCTTGGGCCGCCTGCCTCCTGGCCAGCCGCTTCCCCGAAGCCATGGCACTTGCCCAGGATCTCCCATCAGGCGGAGGCCTGTCTGGGCGCCTGCAGACCCCATGGCCACGGCTCCTGGCAGCCGCTTTGCCAAAGGTTCCTCTACCTTCAGGCTCTCTCCTCAGACCCCCGGGAGCTTGGCTCCCACGGCCCAGCCCTTCTGTGGCTCCCTGCAGCCCTGCTCTACTCAGCTCTCCTGCTGCCCACCTGTCAGGAAGCTGCCAGGAGCCTTGCTGTGGGCAGTGTGGTTCTGGGGCAGGGGCTGGGGTGTGGGGAGCAGCTCCAGTAAAGTTTAGTAAACCCCAGGCCCTCAGCCCCTCCTTGAGTGGAGCCCAGGGCAGGCTGGGGGTCTGGGTCCAAACACTGCAGCTGCGGAGGCCCCGCCCGCCCTGGGCCTCACACAGGGGTCCCGGCTGGGGGCATGGTTTAGGCGGCTTGTTCGCACCACCAAGCGCCCCCACAGCCCAGGGCCGCACACAGGGCAGCTGGGGGCATGGTTTAGGCAGCTTGTTCACGCAGCCAAGCCCCCCGCTGCTCAGGGCCCCACACAGGGGTCCCCGCTGGGGGCATGGTTTAGGCGGCTGTTTGAGCTGCCAAGCCCCTGCCACTCAGGGCCGCACACTGGGGTCCCGGCTGGCGTTGGGGCTTAGGCACCACACAGGCCGGACAGCAGCTCGAGCTGGCCCTCCCTGCCTGCAGTATGCAAATTAGCCGCCATCTTTGTTGGCAGTTAATTTGCATATCTCGCTGATTAGCCAATGGGAAGGGTAGCAGACATACGCTAATTACCATGTTTCTCTTTTATTAGATAGGATTCATCCAATAAATTAAAAAAAGCACAACCTGAGGCTCAGAGAAATTGTGACATACAATTAAGCACAAGTTTACTAGTTTACCAGTAGTAGACTGGACCTAATATAAGAACCATAATCTAGTTTCCTTCACATAATGCTGTTTCCCTCACAATGAAGAATTAGATTTCAAGTCCAGATAAAGCATTGGACCTATAGTGAAAGGAGGGGGTAAAGAGGAGAATAATATCTTAAATTCCCATTATTTTAATTTTAAACATGACATTCAGTTCATAATGTCGGGATACTTTGAGAGGTTCCTAAAATCACCTGTTGGAATTTTTCACTGCTTGAACTTGAGGTCTTTCCTACTGGTTGAATAATGCTTTTCAGAAAGCAGAAGTCTTCATGTATAAAAAGCTCACCTACCATCTGTTCATACTTACCAGAATGGTAGTCACCACTATGGTCCGGTTCTCTGAGGATGCACTGTCATTACTGATTTGCTGATCTGAGAAAGGCACAAACCTTTCATACTCATTCCAGTAGCCAGCCTAGAAAGAACAGACATTTGACCTGGTTGTCCACTTTTCACTCAAAAAGCACGTGAAATTGAAGTGCTATTGTGGAATGAAAAATTTTTTAGTTGCTTTGATACCATTGTGATTAGCTAGTTATTAATAATAGGAAATGAGCGTCCTGGCTGGTTTGGCTCAGTGGATAGAGTGTTGGCCTGGGGACTGAGGGGTCCCGGGTTTGGTTCCAGTCAAGGGCACATGTCTGGGTTGCGGGCTCGGTCCCCAGTGGGGGGGCGTGCGGGAGGCAGCCGATCAATGATTCTCTCTCATCATTGATGTTTCTATCTATCTCTCCCTTTTTCTCTGAAATCAATAAAAATATTAAACAAAGGAAATGAGCAAAAGGGACATGTGGGCAGCTTCACCAGGAAACTGCAATTTCACACTCCCCCAGGAACCATCAACCCATTCCTTGAGGCTTACTGGGGGAAGGGAATGGACAGAGGGGAAGATGGGCACATGCACAGTGAAGTTGGGGCACCATAGGAAAGATGCCACAGGGGACAGGAATCATTAACCAGAGTGGGCAGGGCACTTCAAGCCTATGAAAATCTGGGAATACATTGTCCCATAAACACTTGGCTCTCTTGCACTTGCTGGTATGACCCAGGGCCATGTGGACCCCACACATAGTGGACTAATGGACTGCAGTGAGAAAAACAAGCTAAGCTAGTCTGATGCTGGATTGGACACTGCTCCAATATAGAAAGGAAACTTTGGACACTGCCTCTGATTCTAGCTCTGCTAAAGCTCCAGCTACACTTCTTCCTTGGCGGAACAATGGGAAATGGGGCAGTTGAAACTCAAGCGTTTAATCCCATAGAAATAGAGCTTTCTATAATACCACATCCTCCCGTGTAAGTCTCAGAAAATTCTTTTTCTCAGGATATGGCAAAAAATCCACCCCCACAAGCAATTGGTGGGGACAAAGACCTCTCCCACTGGTAGCAGATGTTGTTCTGTCTTCCTCTGTCTTCCACCCTCACCAGGACCCCAACACGAACACACACATGGATGTGCTGAGCCTTCATCCTGGGGGTTCCTATGCCCACATCACCATTACTGACATTTTGTAAAATAATTTAGCCCATGTAGGATGGTAAGCCTTTTTTTTCTTTAAACTAATATAGCAGAAAAATGCTTTGAACTGTAGGAAAGCTGGGATGTGGGGGCAGGAAACCAGTGAGTATACTGTAGAAATGACACAAGATATTTTATGTTCTCAGGTTTTATCAGATGGTTACTAAATCTCCACTTAATGCCTAACTCAACTATTAGTGTGATAGAAGCCAAGTGATCATTATAACATTTAGCTCTAGAGAAAGATTCTTTGTCCCAGTCCTTTTGGTGGGTAAGTTGACAAAACAAAGTGATAACTACTTTCCAGTTCTTTTGCTAAAACTGTATGTACCTTGGCAGTTTTTGTTCAACTAAAAACATGCTGTAAAATTTGTGACTCCTTTCCTTTATTTTAGGAAGCTGTTAATAACACTTGAGTAAAACAGAACCAGACTCAGAGGGAAATACTCCTTTTAAACTGTGTAGATGGAACACTGTTCACAAGACAACTCTGTATCATATCTACACTCTTCGCTGAATAAAAAGGCAGAAATGATAGGTGGAAATTTGCTTTTTGTATGTTTTCTAAGACCTGTTTTCTTGCATCTGGGCGCTGTCACCTTTCTAAAAGACATTTTCTTTACATATGGGTTTTGGTTACTTACTTTTCGAGAACCAGTGACTTTCATTTCATACACATCGATAGTATAATTTGTTCTACGTCCATAAGTGTCAAATTGGATGTTTCCAGTCATTCCCTGTACTTGCACCTGGTATAAAGGAAAATATAAAACTTTAAAAGAGCACCACATTGTTGCCTTCTAGGTCCCTGGGATGAGGTCTGCTGACAGATCTTGGAGTCTTGGAGAACTTTTACCTTGAATCATTGAGCCATTTTTCCACCAGATCATGTCTAGACAGATCTTCATTTTTCCCCCCAGTATTTTCTAGATATACCTTGTAATTATGAAGCTTTGAGTAGGTGTGATAGGCAGTTACCTAGATGATACAGTGAGGGCCCTATCACTACTTTTTCAGGGGCCTGAAATTTCCATTAGTCTCTTCTTAAAGGAGTAGCCTGAAGAGTAGTCCTAACAAGGGTAATGCTTTTTCTAAACTATAAGTTCCTTTGGGGCTATGGCTTATCTTAGTATTCCCAATATCTGAACATAAACTGGTTTCATAACAGGGCTCTAGAGCTCCTGAATTCATATCCTAGTTTCATCACTTATCAACTGTATGTCCTTAATACATTTTTACGTCAATGCCCTAGTCTGTAAAATGTGAAATCCTAAAAGTACCTATCTTTTTGAGTTGTTGGGAGGATCAAATGAGTTATACATATGTAATGTTTAGAACAGTGGCTGACATGTAGTAAGCATTGCAATACATGCCAGGTATATTGATAATTATTATTCATCAAAGTGAACTTAGTTCCATTTCTTGAGAGGGTTACATATTTACCAACTGCCATGGTAACAAGGTGAGTTTTTCCTCTTATTTAATTTATGCCCAGCTGTAGATAGGTAGGAGAGAGCTAAGCTAGGCCATGGAGGGATAATCTTTACATTGATGAGATTGGTTAAGTCTAAGGAATCAGGATTATGGAATGCTAGATAAGAAAGCTAGAGATACTGGAACAGTCTGGAAACCTATTTGGGATGCCAAATGCAGATTCACCTGTGCCACAATTTTTTCTGGATCTGGGCCCAGTATTATGCACTAACTAATAAGAGACCATCTCTGCTGGGTGGAGAGATTTCCTTACTTTACAGTTCAGCGATACTACATGAAGACCCTCTAGAGATATAAGTCAATATTGTTATACCCTTGAATTGCTCATTTGGTGAGTAAGGGTTAAGGAATTTGCTTTAAAGAAAAAAGATATGTCTCATTTTCTTAGGAAGAAATAATGGAACACTTTTTCTTTATTTTTTGTTAATTCTCACCTGAGGATATTTTTCTGTTGATTTTTAGAGAAAGTTTAAGGGGGCGAGAGATAGAGAGGAAGGGAGGAAGGGAAGGAGGGAGGGAGGAAAGGAAGGAGAGAGAGAGAGAGAGAGAGAGAGAGAGAGAGAGAGAGAGAGAGAGAGAAAGAGAGAGAGAGAGAGAGAGAGAGAGAGAGAGAGAGAGAGAGAGAGAGAGAGAGAGAGACATTGATGTGAAAGAGACACATCGATTGGTTGCTTCCTGCATGCACCTTGACCGGGGTGGGGAATGAACCTGCAACCCAGGTACAAGCCCTTGACTGGGAATCGAACCCAGAAACTCTTCAGTGCTCAGGTTGATGCTCTACCACTGAGCCATACCAGCCAGGACTGGAATACTTTTTCATCACTTATTTGTCTTAAGTGAGATGCTGTTAAGCACATCAGAAGTACTAATAGGCTTGTGCTGCAGAAGGGAAAATTGATGGCAAATATTAGGGACCATTGTTTTAAAGTGAAGGGGACTTATTCACCACCAATAGGAAACTGGAATTCCTATTGAAGGAGAAATGCCCCAAAATGACTTCCTGAAGACATGATGATTGTCCTACTGACCCAACAAACCTAAACACTATTGTCAGTTTAGGCTTACAGAGAGGGTGATGTCACACTTCAAGTTAAAGGGTCCTTTGTTGAGATAGAAATTGCTTATGTAGTAGAGTGAATCTGGTGCATTCTGTGATCTATGAATGGTTCTTTACAGTCTATTTTGAACATTGAATTCTAGGAGAGGATATAGGCAGGACAGAGAAAATGGCATAGGAACTTATTAAGGAAATTCTCCATTACTGAAAATAACAAACTTTTCAAGTCTCATTAAAATTCTATATTTCTAAAGGCCCAGCCTATTTAAACATGATATACAAATTGGACAACAATCTAGATATGTCCAATAGATTTCATACCCCATGATTAGAACTTTTGATGAGCAGAAGTAGAAATTGATTCCCACTCAGAGAGAAGTCTATTTTTAAGGATGTGAATGTAAGTGACGGTTTCCCATCATCCTATCATGGGTCTTTTCTTTAATTCTTCCCACCCCTGTCTCAGTCTATATTAGGTATTTCTCTTCTGGGTTCCCACTGCAACCTCTGTAAAACTTAAAATAGCATTTTAATCATCTATGTATTTCCATCCCTACTATGTTGGGAGCATCTCAAGATGAGAGACATTCTTTTTCTGTGTTCTCAGCTCAAATGGGGTAGAACAGGTGCCCAGTAAATGTTTACTGAACAAGTGGACAAATCTCAATGACTTAACATTGTGACATATTTCAGTAGACTGGGCTTAGGCAGATCTTTTTACTATGTCAATTGTGAGGAGAATGATTACGCAATTTGCAAGTGGCTTTAAGTTCTTTAAAAGCATTTGGTTACACATTAACTATTTAAATGTGAGCTCCCCTCATCTTATTTCATGTTTGCATACTAACTTGGAGCCTGATACATGGTTGTTAGTGCTCAATAAATATTTACTGAATGAATAGTGTGCTTATTTATTCACTAAAACAGGCCCCAGAGGAACCTCTATCAGGCAATGCTTTTACCAGATTTCTGTGAAGGAAGTGACTGATTTATTGAGCAACAACTATGCACTAGTCACAATGAGGGATGTTTTTATATCACACATTCTCACTCTTAATTAACCCAAATAAAATGAGATTTCTTTTAATACAATAAAACCTTTTAGTATTTCAGATCATTCTCCTTTGAAGTCCCTCTGAATAGTGGAGTTTTACTGAGCATTTATCACGAGGGATCATCCACTATTGAAAAAGGTTGATACTTTCCAGCCTCTGGAGAAATAGGAAGAGGCTGGCCTGTAGAAAGAGATAATCAAAGAGAGCCAGTTAGATAAATTCTTTTGGTTGAGTGTTTGATCATTAGGGCCTGGGGAGAAAGGTTACTCACCTGGCTTATAGCTTGAACTTTATCAGTGAGTTAGACATGTAGGAATTATTTGTGCAATAGTATAATTAATCTATTTTTATTAATCAAGTTAATTTCTTGTTCTTCATTCTGGTAGCCTGTTTTCTATTTGGGTTATATAGCTGTTTGTGTCATAAGTGGGGAGTCAATTGGAGATGCTGGAACTTGCCCCTTGAGGTTTCGTTGCTGAAAACTCCTTTTGATTCACTCTGAGTTTTATATTTCACTCATCATTATGTTTCACCTGACAATACAAATCTTGTAACTGCTACGAAGGTTGAATTTAATTAACTGCTCTTCAGAATTGTGCTATGCTACCTCCATAAAATGACACTTAGGGCATTTGTTAGGGAACTGACATAATGACATAAAAATATGCATGATGAAAGAATGAGTCATATCTCTTTCTTGGAGAAAGACACAGGGGCTACTAACCCCTTTTGATTGAATGCTTCCAACTTGGCAAACTTAAGGCAGCAGTGAGAGCCAACTACACAAAATTATGTGTTATGAGGCCATTATAAAATCTTTGTTGCTGGGTTGTGCACAAAATTATCCAACCATTGCCTATCTCTTTGTTTATTTGGATGTCTCAAACATCAAGACAATTAAGTAGAAATAAGAAAGTCTTGTACTCTCAAAGGCTCATTTTAATGCATGTAGACACATGTAGCATAAATCAAAATATTCAGAGAAGAGCTCTTACTTGGAAAACTGCAATGAGTGGGTGATACTGGTCCTAGTGTAAATAATGGAATCTGTTCAAAGAACACTGATTGAAGCCTTAAATGACCTCCTACCCTGTACATACCAAAAACAAGTGACCTATTTGACTGTCTATCCATTGATTTCTTGTATTTTTATTTAGTCTTTTTTTTTGCGGGGGGGGGGGTGGCATTGGGGAAAGTCTCTTAAGTAGTCCTGGAAATGGATCATATTCCTGTGTTTCACCATGTAGAATAGTATAAATCTTCTTTTGGCAACAGAAATACTATCACACTGATGTAGTCTAAAGTCCATCCAGGCTAAACATTTGTCTGGTGAGATAGAGGATGTTGTTGTCTTTTGCAATGGTGCACCTTGAAGGTAGGAGCTTCATATAAAATATCTCAGTTCTCCTCAGTAACATATTTCTGGAAAGTTTGAATATTTTGAAGTCATTTATAATGCCAGCCCACAACTTTTGACAGTACTGAGTTTGATTTAATACCTATGGTGTGGCACAGAACTAAATATTCATTTTTCCCAAATTTGCCATTTTTCAAGCTTCGAGGGAGAAACTTCTAGTTTTGGATTTCTAGATTTTGATGAATAAATATACGTGCTTAGCTTTCTGCACACTCTGACATTCTATAGACTCTGATCCTATTCCTGTTAGTATGTATTTTCTCAAGATTGAGGTCTCATTTTTCGTTTGTGTCTTTATAAGTTTCCCCACCCCAATAATCTTTTGTGGTCATTACCATTTTCAGAGCTCTCTCGATATCAATTCCTTGACTCCAGGGCACAGCAGGATTTGCTAAGCAGTCTCCAGCACTGCCTCTCCGGGACACATCCACTCGCTGCCTCCTCAGATAGCGGAAAGCTTCTGCTATGACTAATATTGCATCGTGCGTCAACGCAGATGTATACTGAAATGGATGCATAGAAAACAAGATACCATGACAAATGATGCCCTTGAAACTTGACTTCTTTCTTATCATTTTTGTTCATCCATACCTCTTGCTTTACAAAGTCACCCTTTTAATTATTTGAATCAAGAGATCTCTCTGGACAAGGCCGACTTTGATTCATTCTAGAATAATGTTTCCTACCTCACGTGTGCACATGTTAAGATTACTAAGATCGTATGGCTCAAGGGAATCTTTCTCTTGTTCTCAATACAGTGTTTCATATTGAGTGAGTGACTACTAAAAGGTTATATCCTTTAAAAAAAAGAAAAACATGTTAAGTTAAAGGATAGTGTATGTAGAATGGAGAGGAAACAGCATATCCTAAAGCAAGACTGGGTTATTGCTGTTTCTAATGGAAATTTCAGATCTGGTGTTTACTTAGGGGAAAATGAAAATAGCTAAGTTAGACAGCTTGAAATTAATTTGGAGGGAAACATTAATCATTTCTGTCTGAACCACATTTCTGGTGAACTAGGACCCCTGGCCAGCAATAAATCAGTTTTTGTTTCCTGGGGGGAGCAAAAACTAAAGCTGGTTTTTGATTGTAGAAAATTACAATTGTTACTGAGTTTTAAATCTGATAACATTGATAATTCACAGGCAATAATGCATGATGCTACCTCTTTCAGGCAAGAACCCTTACTTTCTATTCCTTGGATATAATGGTATGCATCTATTGGAATTGAGGCCAGTTACTTAAAACAAGGGATTGGATTATCTGCGATTTGACATGGTGGATAAATGAACCAACATTTGATTACAATAATCTGGCCCCTGTTTTGTAGAGGGTGACAAATACTGGTAGAATATATAATTCTGTTGCTTTTTTACAAAAATGAAACAAAATGTTCTAGGGGGTGTTGTATAATATATAGTACATCCAAATACAATTGGGAGTGAATTCATTGTCATCTTTACAACTATCAATTTACTTTTCTGACTTTTTCATGTCACTGTTCTTTCTGGAGCAAAACATCAAGTATGACTATAATAGGGGGCATATGTTCTTTTCATGAAAAAAAAGAGATATTTATGTCTGCCCATCTTAGCACTCCATAAAGCCAACATGGTGGTGGTTTTATCCCAGCTGCCTTTCCAAGCCATGCCAGAAGAGCTATTTAATATTCTACTGTTTCAGCTTCTACTTACCAATGTGTGAGCATGTAAAAAAAGCCCCCAGAGGAAACATTCATAACATATAGAATAAATTAGGCATCAGGGTTTTAATCTCTAGATAATTGCATTTCCTAGTAAAAAAATTGCACTATATATATATATATATATTTCTGAGAGGAAGGAAGAGGGAGAGAGAGATAGAAACATCAATGATGAGAGAGACTCATTGATTGGTTGTCTTCTTCACGCCCCACAATGGGGATCGAGCCCACAATCCAGGCATCTGCCCTGACCAGGAATCAAACCTCCTGGTTCATAGGTCTACACTCAACCACTGAGCCATGCTGGCCTAGCTGTACATCATTTTAATTTTTTTAAAAAAATTTTAAATATTTATTTTATTGATTTTTTACAGAGAGGGAGGGAGAGGGATAGAGAGTTAGAAACATTGATGAGAGAGAAACAGTTGCCTCCTGCACACTCCCTACTGGGTGTGTGACCACAACCAAGGTACATGCCCTTGACCGGAATCAAACCTGGGACCCTTGAGTCTGCAGGCCGATGCTCTATCCACTGAGCAAAACTGGTTAGGGCTGTACATCATTTTTTAAAAGCGGGTTTTTGTCTGATTGATATAGAGAAAGGTTTCTTAATGACTAATACTAAGCAAAAGTAATCTGAAAGTTATAGCCATCTATTTAAATATTCCATTATCTTAAGTTATTTGAAGAGTTTTACATGTAAGCCTTAACGGGTTTTTTCAGCAGGTTTGAAGAACTTTACATTATACATACCAGAGCTGAGGTTATTTTCCTCCTCTTTTGTACAACTTCTAGAACTTCTGAAGAGGCATAAATTACTCTGTAGTAGGCTTTTCATACTTTTACCCTGGTCCACTTTTTTGTGTGCCTGACACATTTTAGGTACCCCCTTAAATATTGAATAAATAAAAATTTCTTCTCTATTACCTGCTAAATATAAGGATGGCAAAGCAGCGTATAGGCAGTTTTATGAAAACTTAAATTTGTATGAGCTCGCCTGAATGTAGTGGATGGATTTTGTACATAGAAAATATTTGAATCATCAGGGAAATGCAAATTAAAACCACAATGAGATATAACCTCATACCTGTTAGAATGGTATTATAGAAAAGACAAAAATAACATATGTTGGCAAGGATGTGGAGAAAAGGTAACCCTTGTGCACTGTTGGTGTGAACATAAACTGATACAGTCATTATGGAAAATAATATGGAGTTTCCTCAGGAAATTAAAAATAGAACTACCATATGAACCAGCAATTCCATTTCTGAAATATTATTGACTCATAAAAAAGAAGGAAATCCTGCTATTTACAACAACATGAGTGCACCTTGAGGATCTATGCTAAGTGAAATAAGTCAGACAATGACAAATACTGTATGATCTTATTTATATGTGGAATCTAAAAAAACCTGAACTCATAAAAATAGAGAACAGACGGGTGGTTGCCAGAGGTGGGGGTGGGGGTGGATGAGGGAACTTAGTGGAAGTGGTCAAAGGGTACAAACTTCCACTTATGAGATAAATAAGTCCTGGGGATGTAATGCATGGCATGGTGACTGTACTGTATTGTATTTTTGTAAGTTGCTAAAGGAGTAATCTTAAAAGTTCACATTATAAGGAAAGAATTGTAACTATGGTGGTGATAGATGTTAACTAAATTTAAGGTGGTTGGTAATCATTTAATAATATACACGTATAGAAAATGATTATGTTGTATACCTAAAACTAAAATGTTATATGCCAATAATGTCTCAACTAAAAATATAAAATAATTATCTTTAAAAAAATTGACTACAAAGGATTCATCGTAGGGATTGTGACCATATTAACAGAGATATATGAGGACACCTGATTTGACCATGGGACAGAATGTTTTGAAATGGGACTTTCCTATAAAAACATGGCACGTATACTATAATATCTACAGCACAGAATACCACTTAATTAGTGAGTGGATTAAATGAATAAAAATTATGTTTAACTCCAACTTTTCTAGAGCATACCAACTACATAAAGTAAGGTCCTACCAGTATTATGTTCTGATGTGACCCATTCAGGGTGGACCTGCCTAAGTGATACAGAATGTATTTCCTGGTCTGTATCCCCATTTTTCTCCCTCATTCTGTTTTTGCCAGGGAGGATTTGAGGAGGGTATCTTGAAATCATGAGAAATGAAATATGCCCTTCCCCCATCTTTCCTTGTTTAGAGAAGGGTCTTCACTATACTTTGACTCTTTGCTTGATCACAGAAATCCCACAGCCATAGTACATATATATTTTCACTATATCAGGAAGGAAGAACTAAGGTTAGTTTCATACTTGAACCAATGCACAGAGGGAATAGTTACTTAAAAAACAAGTTAAAAATAAAAAAAAATACATTTGAAGGATACTTTGTGTAACACGAATAACTTTCCTCTAATTTATCTGTTTTAGTTCCCTATTTTTAAATAATAGAATTTCTAGCCTAGGGGAACACATATGAAAAATGTACACTGTAAAAAAAAAAGAAAGAAAAATGTACACTGTAAGCATAGCTTTCTACTTTTAATATTCTTGATTTCATAAAAATGAGCAACTTAGGTAATCTAATTATTTTTTAAGATACTTTTTTTGCAGGCAGGAAAACATTTCCGTTCAATATATGTATAGGCAACACATACTCTGTATTAGAGGCTAACTCACTTGAGTGTGCTGAAATTCATGAAACTTATTAACACAAAACAATCACATAACTAATGTAAAATCTAATTTTCTGTTTCAGATTATCAATCTTCCTTAGCTATTCCCACTGCTCCAAACTTTTGTCTGACTCCGGTTCTTGTTATATTTAAATTGTTATGAGCATATTATAAATGAAATTCGTTACAAAATTAAGTTAACATTCTCCAACACTGGGTTTTAAAAAGACCTACTTTTTGATTGTATTTTTATTTGGGAGTTTAGTTTTCAAATGCAGCAGCATGACCTGCGGTTGTGTTTTAGCATCCTTAAAACACTTTGAGGGAAGACCACTTGATCACAGGATGGCTGTAAATGTATAAAGACCATACTGAGATGCTTTGAAAAGCTGGCCTAAGGTGTCTACATTCTATGGTACATTACCTTTAGTGGTGCATTCTTGGCTTCAGGGAATTCCCTTTCATCCAGCCTCACCCAGCGCTGTATGAACTGCTGAACCATAGGGTTTTCATTGTTGACAATCTGGAATCCTGTAATGTTAGCTCCTCCATGCATGACTCTTTCTAGCAAAATGTCGGTAAAACCCTAAAAAGAGATAGAAAAGAATCATGATTATAGGACGTTGAGTTTTTATGTACAGTGTCTGTTGATTAGAATGTGATGGGGGAAATGGAAGTTCCTTCTCTAGGGTCACTCTTTAATATAACAATGAAGAAAACCCTGGACACAGTGTTATATGCCAATTATATCTCAATAAAAACAACAATGACAAACAAAAAACAGAAAACCCTGGATATGGACTAATTCTTAAGGTACTATGTCTCTGAAACTACAAGCATTCTGGAGATGATATGCATTCTTTCATTTTAGTGACTGTGTGTTTATTTAGTGTAGCTGTGCCAAGGACAAACATATGTGCCAACTTCAAGAAGATGTTTTGATTTGTTTAATTTACCTGTATAATTAGGGTTTCTTTATTGAGTACATATACAATGCTTCATGTAACTGGACAATATTGAAAAAGTTTGACCCCAACTAGAGGAATGAAATATTTTCTTCAGCTTAACATGCCAAACACAGAAGATCACTTTAGATTCTAATGAGGAGTACTTTCAACATTTGTGACATAGAAATACCAAAGAGGAAAACTGATTGTTTGGTTGTATATGATGGTACAAACCCCAAGGTATGTCTCACAGGTGTGTATAAATGAGTCTTTTTTTTTTTATCTTAGAATTTATATTTTATTTTTTTATTTTTATTTTTCCTTTTTTATTTTTATTTTTTTTATTGCTTAAAGTATTACAAAGAGTATTACAAATGTCTCCCTTTCCCCCCCCCCCGCCCTTGACAATCCCCTGGCTTCCCCTACCCCCCCAGTGTCTTATGTCCATTGGTTATGCTTATATGCATGCATACAAGTCCTTCGGTTGATCTCTTACCCACCCCCCTCCTGCCCTCCCACCCTCGCTTCTCGGCCTTTTGGCTAAGATCAAGTGTAGTGTCTGTTCTTATCAGTTTAATATAAATGAGTCTTGACATCTACTTCACAGCACCCACCATTTTCTTCTCTTGCTTTGGCTACAGTCTGGTGTCTCTGCTACCTCAGCCTCCTGATGGAATCTCTTCAGGTTCACATCAAGCCATCTCCACCTGGGCACCACCAGTTCTACTGAGCATTGCTATTTTCTGGGACTCCTCTCCCAGGAATTACACTATTTTTGCCGGATACCTGTCTCTTGCTAATTACTGCTGATGCATTTGAGTCCTCAATGGGCTGAAGCCAACATTTATATTTGTAAAGAAATGAGGAGAACTCTTCCTCCCTTCTTTAGATTCTCCTTCCCAACATTTTAGTATAAGGTTTTCAAATATACAGAAAAGTTGAAAGAACAGTACAGTGAACATCCATATAGTTACTTCTCATATTTTACAATTAGTATTTTTCTATTTATTTATCAATCCAGTTCATGTTTTGGATGCATTTCAAAGTAAGTTGTAGACATTTCTTTCTTTCTTTCTTTCTTTTTTTTTTTTTTGCTTTTAAAAATTTTTTTTATCTCTTTTAGGAGGAAAAAATCTAGCTTACAAGAAGAGTATGCAAACTTAGCAGTTAACTGAAATTAAAGATGTTCTAAGGGTCTCTTAACCCCAGTCATAACCATCTTGTAATATTTTTTTGCTTTTTATAAAATTTAATAGTTATTAATCACAATTCATCAATTTACCTGTGCCAATTTTGCATTTTCTTATATTTATAGTTTTATATTAAATCATTTCTCATATCCAGAAGTCAGATATTTTCTTTTTTTTTTTAGGATTGTTATATTTTTATTCCATTTATTTTTCTTTCAATTACAGTTGACATACAATGTTATGTTAGTTTCAGGTGTACAACATAGTGATTAGATGCATTATCTCATTTAATCTTTTTCTAAAATTGCTTTTTGATTAAGGTATTACATATGTGTTCTTTTCCCCCTATGTAAACATTTCTTTACTTCACAGCAAAAGACTTCTGCATGCTGATCATTAACTAGAATTCAATGTTTGTTTGCAGTTTCCTCCCTCCCTTCTTTCCTTCCTTCCTTCCTTCCTTCCTTCCTTCCTTCTCTTTTTTCTTCTTTGTTGAGTAAAAATTACATTCAACAAAATGCATATATATATATATATATATATATATATATATATATATATATATATATATAATGGATGTATTTACATTTTCAGTTACAGTTTATATACAATACTAGAGGGCCAGTGCATGAAATTCGTGCACTCGGGGTGGGGGAGGTCCCTTAGCCCGGCCTGCACCCTCTCATAGTCTGGGAGCCCTTAGGGGATGTCCGACTCCTGACAGGGAGTGGGCCTAAGGCTAAGCCATCAGTCGGAGATCTTTAGTGCAGCTGCGGAGGCAGGAGAGGCTCCTGCCACTGCCGCTGCACTCATCAGCCATGAGCCTTCCTGGCTTCTGGCTGAGCAGCGCTCCCCCTGTGGGAGTGCACTGACCACCAGGGGGCAGCTCCTGCGTTGAACATCTGCCCCCTGGTGGTCAGTGCGTGTCATAGCAACCGGTCTTTCCGCTGTTTGGTTGATTTGCATATTAGCCTTTTATTATACAGTAGGTCCTCAGGTTACGTCAGAAATCAGTTTCTATGGTGCAACGTAACGCGATTTTTCAGAACCCACCTAAATAAGCACCTACGTCACTCACATGGAGCACATATGCAGCAGTAATGAAGTGAAACAGTAAAAAAAATTTAGAAGAAAGATAATTCCTGACCGTTACTTGTGGTAAATAAATAATAAAAAACATAAAGCACATATGTACATACATCGAAATTATGGAACTTTTTTTTTTATAAATACTGTAAATGGGAGATGGCAATGCAACCACGAAATGACATACGCTGAGTCCAATGTAATCTGAGGACTGCCCGCATAGGATTATATTACTTTCAGGTGTACAACATAGTGAATCAACATTTATATGACTTACAAAGTAATCCCCTTGATAAGTCTAGGACCCACCCAGCACCATACATAATTATTATACTGTTATTGGCTATATTCCCTAAGCTGTACTTTACACCCCTGTGACTATTTTGTAGCTGCTAATTTGTGTTTCTTAATCTCTTCCCTTTTATCATCCATCCCCTCAACCTACAACCTCATCTGGAGACCATCAATTTGTATTCTCTAGCTACGAGTTTGTTTTGTTTGTTTATTTTGTTTTTAAAATTCCCCCTGTAAGTGAAATAATATGGTATTTATCTTTCTTTTTTTGACTTATTTCACTTTGCATAATGTCCTCTAGGTCCATCCATGTTGTTGCAAATGGCAAGATTTCACTTTTTGTTATGAATGAGTAATATACCATTGTACATATGTACCAAATCTTCTTTATCCATTTGTCTATTGATGGTCACTTAGGTTACTTCCATATCTTGGCTATTGTAAATAATGCTGCAATGAATATAAGGATGCGTATGTTTTTTTTCAAATTAGGGTTTTCGATTTCTTCAGACATATATCCAGAAGTGGAATATCTGGGTCATATGGTAGTTCTATTTTTTGAGGAAACTCCACACTGTTTTACATAGTGGCTGCACCAATATACAATCCTACCAACAGTGCATGAGGGTTCTCTTTTCTCCAAATTATTGCCAACACTGTTGTTTGTTAGGTTTATTGATAATAGCCAGTCTGACAGGTGCGAGTTATATCTCTTTGTGGGAAATGAAAATCAAAACCACAATGAGATATCACTTGCCCCCTGTATTTTAAAAAATATATTCTTTTATTGATTTCAGAGAGGAAGGGAGAGGGAGAGAGATAGAAACATCAATGATGAAAGTGAATCATTGATTGACTGCCTCCTGCTTACCCCTGACAGAGGATCGAGCCTGCAACCTGGCAATATGCCCTGACTGGGAATAAAACTGTGAACTCCTAGTTCATAGGTTGACACTCAACCACTGAGATGCACTGGCTGTCATCCTCTTCTATCCCCCGAGTCTTAAATGTACCATTCAATGAATTTTGATAAATGTATATATCCATATTGCTAAAAATTCCTGTTAGTTCTCTAACGTTTTCTTTTTTGCTTTATAAGTTTTTATTGAAGTATAATAATCATATAGAAAAGTGTATCTATCTTTAAGTATATAACCTGATGAGTTTTTACAAACTGAACACATGAATGTAACTAATATACAGGACCCCCCCATCTTGTGTACTTCTCTAGTCACCACCCCTACCTCTGTTTCTTTTAATTTTACATTTCTTTAACATGGGCAACAAGGTAGTCTTAGAAACCATTTTAGCAAAATAGCTTTTTCAGTTATTACTTACAGCTCGCTTCTTCTTCCTTTTACAAGTGGGATATGAGTCAATGGAGACTGGGCAAGGCCAAATATTTTGCATCACTGAGAGTCGTAACTCCTTTCAGATAATCACAAAGTGTTTGTAAAATTAATATTAAGTTGTTAGGATGAGTTTTCTTCCAAAGGCTTCCTTCATGGAAGAAACTAAGACTCAGTGTTTTCTCCCATTTCTTCCCCCTGCACTGTAATCAGTAGAGAGGCTTGCTTGTGTATGAAACCTATCGCAGGCTCCAGTGGGGGCTTAAGCCTGTTACCCAACTCCTCACTCCTACCCTCTAAACATATTTATACTAATAAAAGGGTAATATACTAATTAGACTGGTTATCTTCCAGACATCCTTCTGGACAAAACCACGGTGGCAGGGGCCAAGGCAGAGGTGGTTAGGGGTGATCAGGCTGGCAGGGGAGGGAAGTTAGGGGTGATCAGGCTGGTAGGGGAGCAGTTAGGGGCATCAGGCCAGCAGGCAGAGGCAGTTAGGGGCAATCAGGCAGGCAGGCAGGAGAGCTGTTTGGAGCCAGCAGTCTTGGATTGCAAGAGGGATGTCTGACTGCAGGATCAGGCCTAAACCAGCAGTCGGACATCCCCCGAGGGGTCCTGGATTGGAGAGGGTGCAGGCTGGGCTGAGGGACCCCCCCACCCCCTGTGTACGAATTTCATGCACCTGGCCTCTAGTATACAAATAAAGAGCCAAGGACAAA